AGTGGTTTCCCTAACACAGTCACCGAATATTGATACCGAGCACGTAATACTACGTGTACGTATCCTTGGATACAACCTCTTATTTATGTTTTGTTGCTGTCTTTGTTACATAATTTCTTAATAGTTACTTAAATGATAAGTATCTAAATGTGACTTACCTTAATCGAATTGCAATCGCACATTGACCACGAAAGGTTTTCAAAACTCGCGCATCATCACATCCCATCAACCACCGTGTCATCCTGTGAAACCTGAAATAATGAAAACAAAAGAGAAAAGCAAACACGATCAAGACACACAGCAAGGGCATTTCTTTCGCAATAATTTCCCCAGTTTTTCATCATCATCATCATCTTCATTGGAATATCATTGTTTTCTGTGTGTGTGTGTGTTTTTTTTAAATATATGTATAGCTGTTTCCTCTGAAAAGACGTTGCTTGATTTCAAAATTTCATGAGTAGAACTTTTGACCGTATTTTGTTAAACGACTCCCTCTCCGAGTGAGTCCTCGCTTTGCCGCTACCTCGGTTTCCTTCCCTCTATCTTGTCCATTCTATCTAAAATATTTTGTTCCTGTTGTTTTTAGCTTGCCTTCGTAACACTTCCCTTCAAATCACATTCATTTTCCCGTCCAAAATTCCTAGCTATTCATGTCCGTTAAAAGTTCCCATCTTTGTGATGCGAGTCTTGTTTGGTTTGTTTTATCATTGAAATCATTGTGCTATGCTCACACACGACGCACACACACACACATGTACACAACAATCTAAATTTGAGCGAATAATATTCTCAATTCCAATTGCTATTCTTACTGTTCCTTGGCTAATTTTAGTTGTGAATGTGTGTGTGTGTGTTTTCCCCTTTAATCAACAAACAGTCATATATTCATCATGTTAGCATTGTTTTTCCTTGGTTTACTTTGAGTAAAGTGATTGATTGATATCATTTTGTTGTTCTGCTAGTTTGGTTGTTTTTTTTCTCTCTACGAAAACAAAACGTTGTGAATGCGTGTGGGTGTGATGTGTGAGTTTGGGTACTGCTAAAATGTAATCTGTGGTTGTATGCTTTGAAAGCCGACGCTAACATTTACAGTGTACAAACGAATGTGTTGCTGTGTGTTCGTGGGTAAAAAATCGGAGTGTTTAAAGTGTGTTTGTTTGTGTTTGTGAAGGCGTGTACTTCTCCACATTATTTCGATTTGTACTTGTGTCAACTAAAAGTGTGATTCTAGTGTGTGGGTGATTTGTTGATTATTAGCTAAACTTTGCAGATGCTTGACTCGCATTAAAATAGGTATGTTTGTAACATTTGCTTTTACCGTTTTTTTCTTTTCTTCTCTTCAGTTTACTGTCCAAGACACTCATACAAGTAATGTATATAACAATATGCTTCCAGACAAACGTCGTACAGGATTTTGGTTTCTTGTGTATATCAATAATATGCTTTAGGATTATTTTCTTTTCTTGTATATAATCTCAATATCAATTTATTTAAAGTTTTTTCTTATTACAGCGTAACCTCTAGCTCAGTACTATCATGTTATTTTTACACACGTAGAAAATGATAACCGGTTGGAATTTGTTCGAAACTACCACATTAAAAAATCGAGCATCACCGCGGCGCTGCTCTGCTTGCTTGTCTTGTCTTCTAGCGTAACAACTGGTGTGTGAGAATGTATTGGTGAGAACGACATCCAAAAAATCGCGCACGCATTTATGTGTATTGGTGAGGGCGACACAAACAGGGTGCGAATGATTGATATGCTTGTTTCTAACGACGACTATTTTTTATGACAGCTGCAGAAGCAGTATATGTGAGTGTATGGGTGTGCGCGTGTGCGCTTGGAGCAAAACTAAGACGTATGTTTCGCAGTGAAAATGAAAATCGAAAATCATACACAAACACACGCGTACAGGTAAACATCTATCGATAAGCGTTATGCATAGGCTGCTGATATCAATGCGAAACGAAATCTTTCGGTTTGGTTTGAGTGTTTCGACAGTTTTCGTCGCTTTCGAAGTGACACTTAAATATTGAGGGCAAGTAGGAATTGGCAAGATCTTTGTGTTTCCATTGTTTCTCGTATTGTTTTTTCTTGTTTCAGTGTATAATGCGTGACAGAAAGGAGCGCAATATCATTGGCACGAGTTTGTTCTGTTTTGTTTTAGGTTAGTTTTCTAGCTTAGTCCCATTGTTTTTATGTTTGCTTTGTTTTGCTATTCTTCACGTTGCGGCTATAATCATTGTATCTGTGCTATATTATTGAAGAAGAATATCCAAGAAATCAATCGTTGTTGCTCTGTTGTAGAAGTTTTACAGTAGAAAAAAACTACGCCTAAAAGATCGAATTTTGAATGATTGGATAAAAACCGACGGTTGCGTCATTGTTATTGTTTCTAGTTTTAATGATTAAAATAGAGCCTTGCTCTTCGCTGCTCTTTTGTTGTCAATCTGTTTCAGTAGAAAAAAAAAAGATAGAACCAATAGATTTTTCATGTTTTGTTTTCTTTTAAGAGAAGGCACATAAAGTACATTGTTGTTCATATTTTAAAAAATCCGTGTTGTTTTCTTGTTCGTTTTTACCTTACTTGCACGTGTTATAGCAAAAAAATTACGTTCTCTCTTTTGTATTAGGAATCGTCTGTAGACGTACGTACACTTATACTGAAAAAATAGTACTTTTAATTAGAATATCTTAAAATTTGTTCTAATGCTATTACATTTGTTTTACTTCTCTTAATGGCAAGAATGGAAATCTATAAACAATAGAAAAAAGTACACCACATTGTTGCTTTTTTTTTCTCTATGCAGGAGTTGGAATTTAAAAACGGTTTTTGTGTGTGTGTGTCTGGCTTGCAGATTTCTTATTGTTCATTCTTAGGGATGCTCATAGCTAACACCAATATTGTGCTGGCTTCCGGCGCTGTTGGTTCATCTGGTCGTCGGCGACTGTACTGGAAATTAGTCCAGGTAAACTGGCAACACTGATTTGCATTACGACGTCTGACCCGTTTATGTCTGTGGGTACTATTTTTGGCCTTATATTGAAAATAACTTGTCCAGTTTTACAGAGCGAAGCTGTGTATATTGCTGATTTGTAAAAAGGTGCAGAAAATTGTAGCCCTCTGAAACCATTTGTTTTGGAAATACATGTATTAAGCTTTTTTCGATGAAGTATCGAGTGTACATTCCCAGTCACGATGTTGAAATCGAGCGAGTTGTCACCGAAGTGAGTAGGACTCGCGATGATTGCTTAGGGTTGATGTTTCCAGGAACCTTAACCTCCCGATAATTCCAATACTAGACTGCATCCAAATGCATTCAGTATCCGAAACGAAGAAGACCTACACGCAACCGGACTCGTTTCGTGTGAACTTTGAGGGGTCAGTCCTACCGGATTATGTCGCGATTGGGAAGATCCGACTATCTGTGCGCTTGAATGTTCCAAAGGTAATGAACTGCACAAAATGCAAGCAACTGGGGCACACTGCAGTCAGTGATGCCACATTTTCGTACCAATCACCAATGTGACACTACCAATTGAATCATAAGAAAGAAACTAATAGCCCTTGCATCAAGGTGAAGCTGCAGGTCAGAACTCGATGTTCAAAGAGATTCAAAGAAACTAAATTGGTGATACCCGAAAAACTTCGTGGAGCTCCATTACATCATTTGGAATATGTAGTTGTAATGACAAAGTATTTTGGTGTCTCCAAGATATACTGAGGAATGGGTCTTGATGTTCTACAGGCTCAACAAAATATTGTATGATGTCCAGTAGGTTTATACGAATCCATGAAGCTCCGTGGAACTTCATCACATCAAGAGAGATAAGATGATGTACGTAGTGGTAATGACAAAATATGTTGGTGTCTCCAAGTTGTCCTGAGGATTTGGTCTTGATGTTCTACAGGCTAAACAAAATATTGTATTATGTCCAGATGTATTATGCGAAGCCATGAAGCTCCGTGAGACTTCATCACATCACGGGAGATATATGTATTGTCATTTATGTTCCATTATCCAAATTGTCCTGAAGTTCAGAGCTTGATGTTCCTCAGATTCAACGAGGTATTGTACGATGTTTCGACTATATTTGAGATCCCGAAAAATTTCTCATAGCTGGAATATGTAGTTGTAATGACAAAGTATTTTCGGGTCTCCATGCTATGATCTGCATTATAACCCTGCAGTTACTCTTGCAGATCTTCGCGATGTTCCGTCGAGAAGGAGAAAACCTGGATTCTAAATTATGCCCAGTACACGCTCATCCCAAGTAACATTGCAAGCTTTATAGAGGTTTTATAGCATTCTACAAGTCCAAATCATGGTCTACAGAACCCTCATTAAACCAAAATTGTTACTTGGGATGTCCAGTCTCTTGGTCCTGGTTGAAATGGATCGTCTAGACTAAGACTGATGAGGACTTCCTCCGAATTGGACACCCAGTTTCTTATCTCGAATCCTCTTTTGGAATGTATAAGTCTCACCTGCTGCAATGTATCGCTTCTTCGATGGTATCAACGCTGTCGAAGCAGTCGTCGACGTAGTGTTTCTCGACGACTCCTCTGGCGGCTTCCGGATACTGTGCTGCAAACTCCATCGCGTGGAACATAAATGAATACTAGGTGTTTCCCTGGGTTTTGATCAGAAGACGGATCGCTGCACTAGTCTGTCGGCTGAACGAATCTGCATCTGCTGGTACATATGGCTGATGATCCCACCGAAAGCGATCGGTCGTTCACGAAATTGGCAAAATACGGTGAGTATACATACCAGCAAATCGGGTCCTGTGAGAAGTAAGGAACTGAGGGATCTTCCTTTCACATTTGCAGCTGCATTCTACACGAATCGTACTTTTCCCGGTTCAGCGCGTAGCCCTTCTACTGATACTCCTCGATCTGCTTGCAAACGTTTTCGAACAGCTCATCGGATAACTATCTGGAAGTTGTGGCTCTCCTTCCTTCCACAGTAGGCCGGTCTCGAATCGGTCTTCACCACTACGGAGTCCTTTAAAGCGTACTGACTTTTCAGCAGATCATGGAGGTCCTGATACCCTTCCGCGTTAGATGGCTGCACCTCATTTGAACCGTACACTACCCATCCTGGCTTGGACCGAACCGCTATTGGCTCACGAGGCTTACCACCCTTTGCTTCAGTCGCTGCAATCAAGTGGTGTTTGTTCAGACCGATCGGTTTTCGTACGAAACAATCGGTAGCCCTTGAAGATTCTTCATCCGCTGACTGAACACCGACGCACTTAGGGATTGCTCGTCTACACTTGATGTTTCTCCTTCCCATCTCGTCCGAAACTGAACAAGCTCATTCGTCGGAATCCCTTCTCCACGCTCGTGATGTCAGCTGTCCATTTGATGATCAACTGTTCCTTCGTTACTTGGACACCTAGCTGATCCGCTTAGGAACTTTCCATCAGAATCACTGATGCGCCCTCGTCCAGAAACGCTAACGACCGCTTACCGAAATACAAGGTCACTAATACCATACGGAACATGATGGTACTGGTGGTTCGAAAGTGTGCGTTGATTACCACGGATCCGGCAGCGGAATGCAGTAGACGTTTGTGACGCTCCCGACATTCGTCGACGTTGCACCGGATCTTGAATTTGCTCCGAGCGTTACCGTGATCATTGAGGCAGACAACGCTGAGTCAAGCGCAGTTCTCTGAAATTTAGGCGAACTTCTTTGAACTTCAGGTGAAAATCTCTGAACTTCAGGTGATAAGCTCTGAACTTAAATGGAAGTTCACAGAAGCTCCCAGTCCAACGAAAAGTTCACAGAACGCATAATTTCCGAAAGAAAAATGTTCACAGAACTTTCGACATTAAAGTTTAGAGTACTTTAAAGAATTCCTAAGGTTCACAGAACTTCCCTGAAGTTCAGAACCAAAGTTCTCTGAAGTTCGACGAAAAGTTCAGAGAACTTCCGGCGAAAGGTTCAGACAACTTATTACGAGAAGTAAAGAGACCTTCCGACGAGCAGTTCAGAGAACTTTTGATGAGATATACAGAGATCTTCCGACAAAAAGCTCAGAGAACTTTTTCGAAGAGAAGTTCCGAGAAGTCCAAAGAACTTCATTTAAGTTCTCTGAAGGTCCGACGAAAAGTGCAAAGAGCAGCCGACGAGAAGTTTAGATAACTTCCAACAAGACGTTCAGATGTTCAGAAGATGTTCATAGTGCGTCCGACGAGAAGTTTAAGGAAAATACAAAACCAAGTTCAGAGAACTTCCAAGGAGAAGTTCACAGAACTTCCGATACGAAGTTAACAGAACTTCTGATAAGAAGTTCACAGAACTACCGACAAGAAGCCCAGAGGACTTCTGAGGAGAAGTTCAGATAACTGTCAAAGAGAGGTTCAAAGAACTTCCGAGGAGAAGATCGTAGAACTTCCGGCGAGAAGTTCAAAGATCTTCCGAGGAGAAGTTCTGAGAACATCCGACGAAAAATTCAGAGAACTTCACAGCATTTCCGACGACAAGTTCAGCGCACTTCCGAGAAGAACCCAAAGAATATTATTAGTGATCCCGTCAACACCAATTGGACAGTTTTGGTTTCTAGAACAACTTTGCTACCAAATCAAACTTTGACGTTACTTTAGTGAAAATGGTGACCTAGCCACTAAAAAGGGCTGCCAGCCTTGTCACATTTCCGCTCGTTCCAAATCTTCAAGAGGACCAACCTGGGGTCATCTAGGGTCCAGCCTCAAACCACACTCAAGTATTCAAATTTTATAAGGCAGCTACAATCATTTCCGATAAAATCACACTCTACCACAAGAACTGCTCACCAACCAACCAGATGAACCAACTCGCACTGCCCGTGTACCGACCTTCCTCGGCACTCAACAATACTGTCTCCCTTTCATCGGCCCTCCCTCCGACAATCACCCGTAACTACTACTACTTCCACTACTACTACTACTACTACCAAACAACACAAAACATATAACCCGCACTGAGGAGTGTATCGTCCTGCGTACCGTCGGTCCCCGCTTTCCTCCGCACTTTGGAAAACAACAATGAAACCCTCCAGTGTTCACTTTCATCCCCCCCCCCTCCCTCCTACATCATCGGATCTATATTAAAGTCTGGTGGTCCCAGCAGATCGGGCTTCTTGCCTACCAGCAGGTACACTTCCATGTGGTCCTTCCCCTTGACATAAACCTTCCCCCGGGGCTCGAAATCGTACCGTTCGCTCAGCGTCGGCACACACGCACTTCCCACCTGTATCCGTCCGGGGATACCGGTCGAGTCCATCCGCGATGCCACATTCACCGAGTCGCCCCAGATGTCGTAGTACAGCTTGCTGGTCCCGATCACCCCGGCCGTTATGTCCCCAAAGTTGTACCCCACCCTCATGATGAGGTTGAACTCCAGCAGATCCCGATTGAACGAATCCACGACCTGCTGCATCGCGATGGTAAAATCCAGCAGGGTGAAGAGATGTTCGTTCTCCTCGCCGCGACTTCCCGGGTCCAATCCGGACGCCGCCATGAAGGTACTGCCGATCGTCTTGATCTTCTCCACGCACCGAAACTCCGGCCTTGCCAATAACTCATCAAAGTCCCCGATCAGCTCGTTAAGTACTCGCAGATACTCCTTCCCACCTAGGTACGACTCATCGTACATCTCGTTGAAGTTGACTATGCTTGCAAAAATGATCCCTATGTTCTTATGGTTCTCCGAATACTTGGCCGTATTCTTCAACTGCTCCGCCACGTGCTTTGGAATGATGTTGTGCAACAGCATATCCGCCTGGTTCTTCATGCTCTGCACCCGTATCTTGTCTTGGTTCGCAACCGCACTCCCATAGAAACTCAACCGGTAGCTAATTTCAAACTCCCTGTTCAAAAACCACACCAACACCAACAGCAGGACCAGATCCACGTAGATCTCTGCCCGGTAGTCGTTGAACCAATCGAACTGTGCCTGCTGCAGCTCCGGATTCACCTCCTGCGTCCCATTGACACTAACTGGCGTCGTCACCACCGTAGCCCCCACTCCGTTCCTCAACTCCAGCATATGCCCGATGGCAATACCGACGAACGCCATCGACGTCACCAGCGCCAAACAGTTCCGCATCCAGCAATTCAGCTGCGTAAAGTTGCAGAAATGTATCACACAGATGAACATCAGAAAGCCGTAGTGGAACTCGAAGATCTTGAACTTGCTCACGTCCATCATGGCAAAGTTGGACAGGATCGAAATGACCGGCAGGGACATCAGTATCGCTCCGCAGATGTGCCACGGATACCAGTTGGAGACCATTCGTAGGATAGAGTCGTAGCAGCTTTGCGTCACGATAGGTCGCGATCGGCGCGAAAACTTGTGCACTCGCCGGCAGACTTGCTTGGTGCAGATGAAGAGCGCAAACAGCTGCAGGGTGCTGAAGACCATGAAGATGCAGACCCATACCTTGTAGGATTCTAGGTAGACCGAAGGGGTTAGTAGAAACAACGAGGTGGACGTCGCCAGGTAGATGAGAAAGGACACGAAGATGTCGATGTAGGTGTTGTATTTGGGGGTTGCAAGAGTTGGAGGACCACCTTCCAGTTCGGATTCGCTACCGAAGCGGTGGGCTTTCGAGCGGAACTCCTGCTCCAACTGACGAGATTTGAACCGAAGGGAAATGGGCAGGAGAGGAGGCTTCACCAGATAGCTCCGCTGACTTCGGGCATTATCCCGGACGCAGCGGATCAACTGAAGGTCGGATTGCTTTCGAAGTTGCTGCAGACACGCAGCCAAGGGATCAGGATGAGTTTCTTTGATGACGCAGCGGAGGTCGCTGACGTCTCCGTTGGATTTCAGCGCCATGCCTGGATCGGTGGAAGTTGCGCCCACTGCTGCAGCGACCGCCGAAAGACTAGATTGAGAACTGGTGAAGTAACCGCTAACACGATGGGTCGATAGGGCCGCAGTCTGATTCATGAGCATGATCTGCTGCTGAATGCTGGATCGTCGGCTGTTGGATCGAATTCCGGAATCCTTGCGCGAGGTGGCCGACGGACACAGGCTAGCACCGTCGCACATTAACCTACCGCCGTGTCTACTGTTATTTAGGTCTATACTGTTAGCGGCGATCGTCGAACTTCGGGGTCTCCCACTGGGTGCTTCCGCAATGAGGGAGGCCTTCTCACACTGGGACCGATAGCTGCCGGTTCGGGCGAAAGGCGATATATCACTACGACTCTGGGAGATGTACGACCTAACATCGATGATGTCGTCGAATACGGAATTCTGACTAAGATTGGAATTGTTATCCCCGCTTGCACCGACGCTGATAGATTTCGAGCCCTCGCGGTCCCGCGACCGAACACCCCCCTGGACCGAGCAACCCGACACCTCCAACGTGTGGCAGCTCGGTCTCGGAGTGACAATCACTATCGGTAACTGCTGGTAGCCACCACCCCCGCTGATCTGCTCTACTACACATGGCACTTCTTCGCTTTTCCTACTACTATCACAGTCTTTGTTCTCCAGCTCTAAAGCTAGAGCTGCGGTCAACTGAGCATTACCACTCGTTATACCCGCGCCACTATGCACCTGCGCCGTCCCCGATTCCATCTTCTTCAGCAGCCGCCCCATCTTCCAACTCTTGAACTTGGATCCCTTCTCGTTGGCCACCGCAATCACTACGGCCGCCATGTCCTCGTCCCCCTCGTCCGAGTCGATCCCGTTCGGCATCGACTTGGTGCTGACAATGATCTTCGGCTTTTCGATGTCCCTGTGGTTGGTGTGATGGTGCTTACCTTTGAGAAATTTGGTCATCTTCGAGAGCGATGCTATCCGCGGCCGGGGACTTGAAACCGGTGACGGATTCAGCGATGACGAAACAGGCCCGGCGGGAGATGCCGGCGGTACCGCCGGATGTATCGACGATAGGTTGGTGGCACTTTGCGACAGACAACCCGGTCCGGTCCCGTGACCATCGCTGGCGTTGTGGACGAACGAGTGACTGTGGTCGCCGTCCAGGGGAGAGGAAGATAGCATGTTGCTTCCGTCCCCCGGTAGACCCAGGCTCGATAGGCCATCCGTGATGGAACAGATCAGATCTTGCTTCTTGCCGAGGACGAAGTACGTTCGATGGCCTGTGAATGGTGGCATAAAGGGTGTCAGGGTGGATCTACGTCAATAGGGGGGTTGGGGGGTGTTGGAAACTTACCGTCGACCTCTTCGCCCTCCTCAATCAGGTAGGAATCGCCCAGGAAACTGCAGGTTTCTCCCGACACGTGCACCTGATCCGGTCGGCCACTGGATTCCATTCTGGGGAAGGATGGTTATTGTTAGATTATTCGGAAACTTTAATAGGTTTAACTCAATTTGAGTAATAGTTCATGCTGCACCATGGAATTGGATCGCTTTCATACGATCGGTACGCTTCTGTCAAGAATATTCAGGTCTTGTCGATAGAATCACTGGGATACCTCTACCGCGATTTATAGATAGAGCTGGAATTAGGGCGTAACAGCCTTTGTAAACAATGACTACTCTCGTTGATTTCTAGGAATTCAAGGCACGCCTACACGAACCAACATATCCATAAAGTAGGGATAGTCTTCCCCTACTCGATGGTGATGTCGATTTGCCAGGGAGAGCCATGACTTTCGAGAAATCCTTAAGAGAAGTCATTGTTTACAAAAGCTGTTACGCCCTAATTCCAGCTCCATCTAGATTTAGCGGTTTTTGGAAGTTCTCAAAACTTCTTCTTAACACCTAAGAGCATTACTAAACTAAGCACTGGAAGAAACTCCAAAAATCCAAAGATTTTACGCTCTACGGAAACCTATCCAGCGAATCAACTGGGCTCGATATACGCTTTAAACAGTTTCTGGATCTTACAAAAATTTCCAAAATGTTTTATTTGAGCAGTTCAAAGCCAAATGACGAATTGATCTGGCGCGACCTCCTCCGATATGAATGATTTTTTGCGCAATGATGTTTTGTATGGTCAATCATTCTAATTTGAGCTAAAATTCGGCCATTTTGAATCTCGAAAAAAAAAATCAAAATGGCGTATTCGAAATTGTTTAACAAATCATAACTCGAAAACGTCACTTCCAATCGAAATGACGTCTGAGACAACGATGTTGGAATGTTTCGAATCTCGATCAATAAAATCAGAGAATTCCAAGACTGCATTAACTTCAAAAATATTGCAGGCACTTCAGGGAAGTTCAGAAAGCTTCAGATATGTTTAAAGATTTTAAAGAATGGCCAGAGAAGTTTGAAAGGTTCTTGAGTATTTTAGGACAGTTCCATGAACATCAGAAACATTGTGAACTTTGGGACAGTAATATATTGGATCTAAGGAATTCAAGGAAGTTCCACAAACATCAGAGTAGTTCCAAGCATTTCAAGATCATCTGAGGAAGTTTAATTACATTAAAGGGTAAGTTCCGATAGCACCAAGGCAGTTTCATAGAATGCAGGAAAGTGTCTACAAATTGTGCGAAGATAAGGTAGCTTCAGGGCAGTTTGATTGACTTTAGGAAAATTGCAGGAACTTTTCGGAAGTTGTCAAATTTTAGGTAAGTTTTAAGATATTCAGGGTAGTTACATGAACTGCTGGACAATTCTTTAAACTCCTGAATACGAATATCAGAAAAAAATGGCCGCTTCAGGAAAATTCAAAGCATGAACTTTAGGACAGTTTTTTTTTAATTTCAGGGAAACAGTGGGAAATTACAAGAAGTTCTTAAAATTGCAGGGACGTTTAGAACAGTTACATTAATTTCAGTGTAGTAATTAGGTGTAGGATAATAACTTCAGTAATCAGGAGGATAACTTCAGCAAAGATTCAGGGCAATTATTTACTTCACGAAGCTTTCAGAAACTTTAAAGACGTTCCGAAAAATGAAAGGAAGTTCCGAGAATTTCTGGGCACTTTCATGAACAGACTTCGGGAAAAATTTTGGGCCCTTCCTTAAAAGCTTCAAGTACTTCAAAATAGTTCCATTAGCATTAGGAAAACTGAAGCAACTTTTTTAAAAAGTTCTGGCAACTTCAAGGAAGTAAAACTTCAGAGATGTTCAGAGAACTTAATTAAATTTTGAAAAACTTTAAAGAAGTTCCAAGAAACTCAGGAACGCCAGGTTTAGAGATTTACAATGAACAACAGAGGTCTTAAGGACAGTTCAAACAACTTCAAGGATATTCCGAGAATTTTGAAAAATTCAAATTTTTGAGGAAGTTTGGAAAAGATTAGGACAGTTTCAAGAATCCCAAGAATTTCAGGGAAGTCCAAAGCAATACAGAAAAGTTCAGAAAACTTTTGAAATTGTACAGAAATTTCTGGGAGATCCGGAGAATTTTAGGGATGCTTACAAATTTTTCTGACATTTCCATTCAGATCTCCAGAGAAGCACTTCAGGAGAATTGCGCGAACTTAAGGAAAGCTCCGAGACCCTCATGGCAGTTCAGTTAAATTAAAAAAAAAAATAACAGTACTTTCAAATGAGTTCTGAGAATATCAAGAATTTTCGAAAACTTTAGCAAAGTTTAAAGAGTTTCAGGAAACACCTGCATTCCTAGGAATCCAATTTCCTTTGTATTTGTGATAGAAGTCCTTAGGCTTGTGAGTTTTAAGCTATTCACAGCCTGGAATCCAACAGTCGAGCACAAATCCTCAGGGGACTCTAGAGAAGGTCTCTAGAACTTCCTAAAATGTGGAACTTCCTCCAGAAATTCCATGAAGTCCACAGGACTCTAAACTTTCGAATAACATACTCTGGGCTATCCACTGGAATATTCCGTATGAACAACCGTCTTCTCTGATACGTCTACAGAAGTCTTAAACACATGTTACCGAAGTATCTTTGGGCTTTCTACCAAACTGCACTGTACTTTCGACCGAAGCCTTCTAGACTTTATGACGATGTCCTGTAGACTTTCCGTAGAAGCCTCCCTGACTTACTATCGCATAGTTCCCTCGACTCACCTGTTCGCCAGTGTCACATCGTTGCTCCACACGTCGAACTTGACCCGCTTGGTACCGACGATCCCGCACAGCACCGTCCCCGTGTGCACCCCGACCCGCATCTTGACGCCCTCCTGCCGCTGGGCGTCGAACATCCGAATCGACTGGATCATGCCCAGTCCCATCTCGACGCAGCATATGGCATGGTCCGGTCGCGGTTCCGGGCACCCACTGACACAGTAGTAGCAGTCACCAAGCGTGGAAATCTTCTCGCACCCATTCATCAGACACAGATCGTCGAACCGCTCGAACAGGTCGTTCAAAATCTCCACCAGCTGTTCGGCCGTTTTCGTCGAGGACATCTTCGTGAAGCCAACGATGTCCGCAAACAGGATGCTCACGTTTTCCATGCTGTTCATGTGGAACGGCCGGAAGAGGCTCTTCAGATCCGAGGGAGTCGCCCGCCGCTGCGGACACTGATCGAAGCTCATCCCCTTGACGACGCTCCCGCTTTCCTTCAGCAGCAAATCGGCCACCTTCGGAGGCATCATCGAGTGGATCATCTTTTCTTTCAGCTGTTTCTCCATCTCCAGTTGCCTCCGAACCAGCAGATTCTGCCCCACTTTCATGAATGTCCCCCGCATCCGGACCACGGTCATTATTAGGATGTGAACCCCCATCAAGTGGACGCACAGCTGGATCAGTATCCGGATGAGGACAATTTTGTACACAAATCCGCTGGAGTCCTTCTCGGAATCCGACAGTGAGGCGGCTGTTACCAAATCGTCTACGTCGGGTTCCTGAATGTAGTGCCCCTGATGGAGGAATGAAAGCACTTCGAAGCACACCGAGTAGGCCGCCGCGATGCTGCAGCACAACCACAGGGGCAATGGGATGATGGTATAGATCAGCAGCACTATTTCGATGCAGATGGAAAAGTGCCCCAGTGGGCTGAGGGCATCCTCGGTGAAGAGGAGCAGGAAGAGTGAGAACAAACAAAGGAGGATGGCACAGGCCGACGAGATTACGTTTGTGTAGGCCCGGTAGATGTCGGTGTGCGTGAGCCACATCCCTACGAGGCCGAATATCAGGATTAGGCCGATCGAACCCGTCAGCAGGTGGTAGTGGGTGGGCCCACCGTCGAAGATAAAGTAAAACAACCATACCAGGGAACAGAGCAGGATGTAGAAGAGGGCGAATCTGCAAATAGGTTACAATTTGTATGATGTTTGCGAATAAATACCGATTGGCAGGAGCTTACCTAAACTTAAGTCGGATCTGCGGAAACACGCTGGCTTGGAACTGGCCCTCCAGTACCGGTGAGTCGAAGCGGGGATCGAACCAGGATCGCGGGGCGGCCCGCTCGAATGCCACTGGAAGCATCACGCTGCAGCAGGAATGCCGTCGGCCCGTCTGGGTCAGGTAGCTCTGGATGTACGGGGCTAGCGATATCTGAATGTCCTCGATTGAACCCTTACGGCTATCGCTCATCACCGGGGGCATCGTCGTCAGCGACGTCGATCGCCGGTGGTTGGATGTGGACTGGAAGGTGAAAGAAAGAAGTTATTTTTAATATATCATGCTTAGGATTGTTTGGGAAGCTAGTCAAGTTTGATGGAGCCGCTTGGTGTTCATTGAAATTACCTGCTCTTAAAAAAGCAAATAAACACATCAATATCGGCAATGGAACATCGTTTGTTTACAACCCAACAGCGCCGTTTACAAGAGAAACATATTCCACCTCTTCCCCCCCGCCGCCGCAGTATCTGAGCGCTATCAGAGATCAGCCGAAAGGCGTTCGATAAAAGGGGCGCGTGCGCCATCGCTTTTAAAGACATTCGTTATCAACCTTCCGCCATCCGCCGGCGTTCCCGGCGCGCCGCGCTTATTTTCAATTTGGCACAAACATAAGACTGATTTCAATTTATATATGTAGGTACCTGTCAGATACACAGCCCAGATATAATTTTGTAGAAACGCTCTAACTAGAAGAAACAGAGGCGACCAGCACGTGTCTTGTCTTGTCCGGATGGGGAAGATAAAGTCAGTAGAAGGTTTGTGGAACCGGCGCTGCCGCGGCATGCCGGTGCTGTTTCGAGGCAATCACACATGTGGCTAATGTCGTGTAGCACCACTTATATTTCCTCTACTCAGGGGATTGCGCGCGATCCACGCGAATCACGGCAGATGCAAATCGTTCCCAAATTGCTACCGTTTTAATTGGCGTGCCAAGTGCAGGCCACGACTGAGAGAGCTTGAGTTATTAGCATTAAAGAAGAAAAAAACAAACACTGCGCTGGATGGGATATTGTGATTGGCGTAAAATTGCACGAATGTTTAGTTTAAAAGTCACGAACACACACACCTATCTTACAAATAGGATCAAATTTGAAAATTCTATCTGTCACACCCCTTCGTCAGTGCAATCTACAGGCATCTATAAGTGCAGATACGACAACACTGGGTTTGATAAGAACAGAGCTGAAAGTCATCGTCATGGTATTTTTCCAGAAATTGCGATAAACATAGGTGATAAGAAAGTTTCTCAAATAGGTGAAAACAAATGTATGGGGCAATTGAAAACCGTTGATTTGGTTTTATTTTGGAAACATCGCTTTCTGCAGGGGAAATTACAAAATTCAAAAGCAGGGAGGCCAGATTAGAAGACATGTCACATGACATTTTAAATTCTGCGAAGATTTTTATTTTCCGCAGACTTTTAACGTTTTGGGAAGATTTTTTAAGCCATTTGGAAATTGAAGTAGATTTTGGAACACACTAGTGAAGATTTTGACTTCATATCAGTGCTAACATTTGAAAACGGCACAAAAGCCATTTTGCACTGATATAGCAGCTTTTTGAAAATTTTCAAGGGCGTACCCAGGTCTTAAAATAGAGGCGACAAAACATGAAATTAAGTGACCATAAAGCCCGATTCAAAGTAAATTTGAACGCATTCAAGTGATCATAACTCAAGAACTAAACAACATACGCGGTTGATCAAAACGTCAAACAAAAGTGTATTTATTCAGCTTTCAAACGATATATAACAAGTTATTACATTTCACCGTTTTGAACGAACTGTCGCAGTTTACTTGTGATCGATGCCATCATGATCTGCACAGTCGCTGTTGACACTGTATCGGCGAACTTATTCCACTTTAAACGCATTTGTTGTGCATTTGTCACTTCTTTACCGCATCCTCGAAGTTTTCACTTTACCAATGCCCAATATTTTTCGATCGGTCTGAACTCAGGGCAATTCGAAGGATTAATCACTTTGGCGACGAAATTAACATTGTTTGCAACATACCATTCTAGTACCTTCTTAGAGTAGTGGCAGCTGGCTAGATCCGGCCAAAACATAACGTTGGTCTTGTGTTGCCGAATGAAGGGTAAAATCCGCTTTTTCAGACACTCTTTATTGTGTGAGATGTGATGAAAACCTTGATTTAAAGGCCACAACTGCAGATTCCTTGCCAAATCATTAGTTTCCGAACAAACTTATCAGCAAAAACAAATTTATACCTGGAAAGGACATCCCCACCACCAGTTGCTAGGTAAAATTTTCGTCCGTGGATTTGTTTATAATCCATTTTGACATATGTTTCGTCATCCATTAAAATACAGCCATCAAATTTCGTCAAAACTCGTTCGTATGGTAATCGTGCTCGCTTTTTGGCCACTAAATTTTGTTTCAGGGAGCGATTCGGATGTTTACTGGCACAAAAAGACTTGTATCCTTCTCTTGAAAGGATGTTACGCACGGTGGAAAAGTTGGAATCGTATTTCTTTGCCAAATCACGTATGGAGACACCTGGGACACCAGCTTTTCACGTACCTCAACATCTTTCTCCTCAGCTCTTTGTCTCTAGTGCCACTTTTATGATAGATGCGCTGTGCTCTACCCACAATCAGAGTATCCTTGTAACGTTTGATTATAAGACTCACCGTTGACTTTGGGAATTTCAACACTTTTGCTATTTTTGAGGCAAACCACGAAGGGTTCTCTAGATGTTTGTGCACAGTTAATTTTCTTTTCACAAGTTCCATGATCCGTTATTTCGGGATGCGTCCATCAATCGAGAAAAACTTTTCACCAATTTCTTCGTCAATGAAACATCAACAAATGCCTGTCAAACGTTTTTTGTTCCAACCACCAGGGGCGCGGTGGTGTATTATACCGTGCGTCCAGATTTACTTTGAATCGAGCTTTATTTCGAAGGAAGATAAGTCTACTAGGAAAAATCATTCCTAGTCTCGGAGTCTTGAAAAAAAAAATCAAGTCTAAAATTTTAAATGGGTATAAATTTTGAAATTGTTCCTAAATTTCAGATCTAAAAATTTTCCAGTGCCCTAGAGTTCCTAAAATTTGTTTGAGTTCAATGTTTTTAAAAATATCAAAGTGTTGTTTAGGATACCAAGTCCTTTCGATGGTGGTCCTACTAAAGACTGGACTCGAAAAAAATAAGACACACAAAAATGATCTCCAAAAATTCATTTTAAATCGGAAACTTCTCAAATTTTCAGGGATTAAACAACTATATATTAGCTATGTTTTGGCATAATATATTTATTGAATTTCCTCCCCCAAGCTGAATGCTCGTACATTTCTCTTAACACTGCTCATGAGATCTTGGGCGAGGCTTTGCCCATCTTCCTTACACAATTTCTCCCAGTTTTTCTTCAAAGCTTCATCGGTTTTGAATGTTTTTCCGCTTTTCTCCAACTTCTTCTTCATTATCGCCCAAAACTTTTCGATCGGACGAAGTTCTGGTGTATTTGGCGGGTTCGCCTCCTTCGGGACCACATTAATGCCCTTCGCTTCGTACCAATCCATTACAGGCTTGGCGTAATGGCACGAAGCGAGATCCGGCCAGACCAGCGTGGGACCACGGTGAGAGCGGAGGAAGGACAGCAAGCGCTTCTGCAAGCATTCCTCTCGATAAATCTGCCCGTTTATGGTGCCGGTTGTAACGAACGGCTTGCTGTACCGTCCGCACTCGCAGATCGCCTGCCACAACAGGTACTTCTTCGCGAATTTGTCCATCTTTCTCTTCCGGAACTTTTCCGGAACCTCCATGCGGGACGTACCGACAAAAAACTCGAGGTCGGGGATTTGTTTGTTGTCCGCCTTGATGTATGTCTCGTCGTCCATGACCAGCCACTCACGGTACAGCTTCCGCGCACGCAATTTGGCCACCGTGTTTTGCTTGTCAGTCCGGTTTGGCGCCTTCCTTACTTTAAAAACACGTAGCCTAGCCCGCTTCATGGTCTGCTGGACGAACCACTTCGACGAATTGACCTTTTTGGCCACGTCTCGGGTGGAAAGGTTCGGGTTATTCTTAAAGTACTGCCTTATCTTCCGCGCCTTCTCTGGGTATTCCATTTTCGGTTTTCGGCCGCTTCCAGCGCGCCGCTCGATGGTCTTCGTCTCCTGGAATATCTTCTCAACGCGGGGCACGGTGGAATGGTGGATTCCAAGCCTTTTGCCGATCCATCTGTGCGACTGACCAGGATTATCGATCACCGCGCCCAAGATTTGCTGGCGTAGCTCTTCTTGTTTCGAATGCATCTTGAAAACTACTTGACAGATAAAATTTTGCACACATATACATAACACTCTAAACTAGTATTACCCTAAATTTCATTAATTTTTACCCACGCGATAAAAAGTTGCACCCAAAACAAAGTGTCGCATTTTTTCCGAGTCCAGTCTTTAGTTTAGAACTCTCTCACAACGTGACGCTAGTGTGCATGTGAACTTCATGAATATGCTATGTCTGGAAAGCCTGGATGTTGCTGTGCAATGTATGTATTTTTGAAACAGGGGTGTCATGTAGAGATCGAAAATCGCTGTTGGATACCATTTTAGAAATACTGTCTCTAGTCTACAATATGGGTATTTCCAGAACGGGGACGACGTATAGAGATCGAAAAACGATGTTAGACACCATTTTGTGAATCCAAGATGACGGCCATCGGTTTTATAATATGTACTGTCAAATATGAGTGTTTTCAGAACGGGGACGACGTGTAGAGGTCGAAAATCCATGTTGGACGACATTTTGGGATTCAAGATGGCGGTCATCGGTTTAAGGCTTGTAAACAATGAATTTGAATTTCCTATCTCGCGTTGAAGAACCTTCTCCAGTGTCGCATTACCTCCGACTGCTTTCATACTTTTAGCTTGACATTGTAAGTCCCTCCTACATGAAGAATTATGCTATGCCCCGCCTTCATCAGCAAAAAATCAGGGATATTATAAATGGGGCGCGCTTCCATAGCATAATTCTCCAAATAGGATGGACTTACAATGCTAATCTTAAAGCATAAATAGGGGTACCGTCTGAAAATTTCAGTGCTTGGTACTGAAATTTGTAATCTGTGACAGGGAAATCACTTTTTTCACACCACAGAAACACCCCGTTTTCTTATGCATTATGCACGAAATCTAAGAAAAGCAATATTTAGTGAACATATTTTACTCAATCGGTATATAAAAGATGCACCGAGAATTGATTGGATGGCTTAAATGTTCG